ATAAATAAATAAATAAATAAATAAATAAATAAATAAATACATACATACATACATACATACATACATACATACATACATACATACATACATACATACATACATACATACATAAAAGATATCATCACCGCGGGGAGGGGGGCGATGATAACTTCCTCAATGGCTCAAGGGGGCGTTTCTTTCAAAAAGGTTAAGAACCAGTGATGTAGGTAGTCCAGGACTCAAGAAGGGAATGCCCTCTAAAGAATTAGTGCCTTCCTCAGTGCCCAAGTGACTACATCTTACAGCAGAAGAGGGGTGTGTGTGTGTGTGTGTGTGTGTGTGTGTGTGTGTGTGTGTTTGTGTGTTTTGTGTTGTGGCTCTCCAGACATTATTGAGCTCCACTTCCCATCTTTCCTAGACTCAGCCAGCTTGGCCAGTGATGAAACAAGATGGGAGCAGTAGTTCATCATCTAGAGCGCAATCCCTGTCCTGCCTTAGAAAATATTGTATTTGTTTATTTATTGCATTTGTTTGTTTGTTTGTTTGTTTAACTTAAATGCCGCCCACTCTACCCAAAGGTCTCTGGGCGGCTTACAACAATTAATATTCAATTAAAATACAATAAAATATAAAATGATTAAAATATAATTAAAATACTGATTATCTAGTGGCAAACCACTACTCTGGGTGGTCTACAATGATTAAAATCTTCACAACCAGCACCCTGACCAAACCCAAAGAAATTAATTTTACAAAGAAACCCCCCGAAGGTGACAGACAAACATAGAATTAAAAATAGTGGTTCAGAAAGTATTCATCGGGGAGAGAGTGGTCTTAAAGGGCTCCTTAAGAAGCTCAGTTTTAACAAGTTTCCTAAGGATCAGGAGGGAGGGAGCCTGGTTGACATCCACGGGCAACACATTTCAAAGTCACATGGCCACCGCTGAGAAGGCCCATTTCCTAGTATTCATTTTCTGTACTTCCCCTATTCTTTAGTATTTTGAAATAAATAAAGAATATGGTAGATCCATCTCTTCCAACCTGGTGTTCTCCAGATGTGTTGGGCAACAGTTTCCATTGCTCAGACAAGCTGTTGCATCTGGAGGGCATCAGAGTGGGAGCGGGTTCTGTAGATTCAGTAGAACATAATAATCGGAGCATAGAAAACATCTCTTTTATCTCTGTTCCGTCTCTGTGGTGCCAGGTTTTAGCTTAGGTTTTAGCCCACCAAACTTGTTGCTACTTAGTAAATTTTGCAGGAGACAAAGCATCTGGTCCACCACTGGGTTAGTCCTCTACAGTCACATGTTCTTGGGTTCAGCAGACCTGCTGCCTCTCCTTTATCTTGGGATGGGTACAAAGCAGGAAGAGGTGCTCTTGAGAGGCCACAAGGGTATCTGGCCCTTCAAAATATTTGTGTCTCAAAGCTGAGCTGCAGCTCTGATCCTCCTGCATGCCTGGTTACTACTGCTGGCAACCCACACACCAGGAGCCAAGTCTGCAGGTGGGGAGGAGGAAGAGAGAAGCGTAGAGCTGGAGTTACAACAGACCTGATAAGACCGGAGTGATGACAGATGCAATAATGAGATCCATTCGCTTCTGCTCGTTATCAGGTGGTGGTGAGGATTGTGCTGGAATGTAAGGGAGAGACAAAGTGGTATGCATGGATCAACACGTCCTCATGCTCTGGATTCTCTCTGTTATGAGGAATCAGGAAGGGGGCACAGACTTCACTTGGGAGAAGGAAGCCCACTACTTGCCCATAATGTTAGCATTCTTCAGAGCTACAGCATGTCGAAATTGTTTTCCCTCCCTGAAGGATTTTTAACTATTTCTTGTCTTGCAGGCCCACATTGCCTTATTTCAATGTATATCAGATCCTAGGGGGGAAAAGACGACCCAACATGAGATGGATTGACTCAGTAAAGGAAGCCACAGCCTTTAGTTTGCAAAACAACTGCATGCATGAAGAATTAAAATATAAAGGGAATGCTGAAAAGGACAATACAGATAGGAGGTGTTGCCTGTTTGGTGATGATGGAGTGCTAGGGTACATAGGGTCCCTTCCAGCTGTGCAGTTCTAAGATGATAATGACTGCTTCTGCTCTGTAACGGAGTTGAGCTCCTTCCACCTGCAGCTACACAAGCAACAAACATCTACCAGGCCTCACTAAGGGTTAACCTAGAGCAGGGGTGGGGAACCTTTGGGCCTTCAGATGTTGCTGGACTCACACTTCCATCATCCCTCACCACTGACTAAGCTTTCTAGGGCCCATGAGGGAGGTGAAGCCCAACACCACCTGAAGGATTGTCTCATCATATGGCTTTTGAGACTCAACTGCATCAACAAAGGAAGCCATGGTGTTGAGTTTGCAAGATTTAACTGCATCAACAAAGGAAGCCATGGTGAGTTTGCAAGACATGAGGCTTCTGATGATGGGGCTTCTCGGAGGTCACAAATTCATACAGACGGCATACGTTGGAAGTGTCTTGATAGTACTTAACCACAGCATATATAATCTTATTCAGGCCACTTGGAGCTGGACGCTGACACGAAAGGACTTACAGTGAGGGTGGGGAATACTTGGCCCTCTAGCATCTTTGGTTTGCAACACCCAGCACCCTGTACTATTGGCTATGCTGGCAGATGCTTTGGGGAATTGACATCCAAAATATCTGGAGGGCAAAAGGATCCTCTGCCCTTACAGGTGGCCTGAGAGACCGGTGGTCCTCGTCATCTACTGGGCAGGGCAAAACCTAAACGGAATGAGGCGCAAAAGGAAATTTGGTCCTGGAATTGATGGGCTCTCTTCAGGCAATGATAAAGGCATGTGTATTTATCTCCTCCCCAACAGGGGAGCAGAAGTCTTACTCCGCACCCATCTGGTCAGTTTCCCTTTTCAGAAAGGGGAAGATGGCAGAAAAGAAGACTGTTTGCTCAGTGGTTGAGGCCTCTGGCTATGGAGCCAGAGGGCGCTCAGTGGTTGAGGCCTCAGGCTACGGAGCCAGAGGGTGGGAGTTCAGTCCCCCCCCCCACTGGGCCTCCTGGACTGGGGCTGGACCCGATGATGACCTGTAGGGTTCCTTCCAGCTCCTCCCTTCTAAGATCATTTCTGACAGCTCTGTGCATGAGCCATCCAGTTCTCTGGGTTGTCGAAGGATACAGCAGGGTCTCCTTTTCAGGCCTGAGGATGTTGTGCTGAACGGTAGCAAAAGTTTGTGGGGAAGTGGAGTCTCTGTTCGAACTTACTTTGCATAAATGGAGCAAGAGGCATGTCCAAGCCGCAGTTGGAAATTTCGGGCTGAGAAAATTAACACTGGAGGCAGCTGTCACTCTCTCAGTAGATAAGGTTTACTTCTAAAGTGCTGAAGAACTCACGTTACCCATGTCCTCCGAAGATCAACAGCCTACAGTTCCTCAGTATGAATCCCCACTAGTCAGAACATACCTCTGACTGTTACTCACGAGGAGTCACAACGGGCAGTCTCCTTTTAGAGTTGGGGTGGATGGGAAGTCTGCTTTGTCTGTAAATGGGGAGAAAATGATCCAATCCAGTGTGATGCAGAGACATGGCAGAAGGAACCCCCTCACGGAAGGATGATTAGAAAGCAGCAAAATCAGAGCACCTAATCATTCACATACTGTATGTACAGATAGCATCCTTCACTGCAGTAGGGCTAATCACCTATAACAAAGCTTCAATGACTATTATGAGAAAAATGAGAAGCCACTGTAAGAAGAGACATGGGTGGGAGACAAAAGGTTTAACCCCTTCCCGTGATTACTTTTCTGAGCAGAATTACACTTCAACAGAGGTTTTTAAGTATCCTGATTTTTTTTTTTGTGGGGGGGTGGAATTTTAAGTCCTAGTGACTGGATTTAAGTTCTGATTTCCATGGATCTTCTCTAAGAGTAAACATGTGTGGACATACTGCACCACATTTTCAAAGCTATTCACATTTGTAAGAATTGAGATTAAGCTCTAAATATATGTGCTGGTCCCAACTAGAATGCACTTATGGAATCAGTGGTACTAATGCAAATATTGTTTTATGATTAAGCAACTGACTTGATGAGCCTATATCAAATTGAACTGAGGCCTATAGACACATTGAAGTATACCTGGATGGCAGCCACACACTTTTTCAGCCCAAACAACAACTCCAGATCTTTCACCCTAATGCTCTAGTTGTCTGTGCGATCATTAGAGCTTAAAAACAAAACAACAAAATTAAAAAAAGTAAAAAGGATAAAAAGATGGTGACACCTTCTTAAAGACTAAATAAATTAAATTAGGCTTTAAGTTGCCACCACATTTTTGTCTTTTTTTATTTGCTCCTTCATTTTTTTTTAAAATCTAACAGATGCCCGAGAGGCATTCGGGCGGAGCGGACACTCTGCACGTGCTCAGATACGCCGTCCTCTCTTACTGTTTACAAAGGCAAAGCGTGCCCCATCTAATCCTGCTCGCTCTTCCTGCGGCTGGTCTACCGGAAGAACCACTTCCCCAAAAGGTAGTGAATTTCCGTTGCTTCAGTTTAAATAACAGAGCCCGGGGAACCCTTTAAAAAAATTAAGAAATATATTACACACATACAATCTATCAGCGGACTAGGGCGCGAGTCATCAGATACGGAAGAACTACATTACCCAGAAGTCTTTCAAATTCCTCCCCTGATGGATACTGGGAACAGTAGTCTCAAGGAGAGAGAGAGAGAAAAAGCTGTTTTAATTTTCCAAAGGACGTTGGAGGCTCTATATATAAAAAAAGAGAGAGAGCGAATACTACAACTCCCAACAGCCTCTGCAAAAGAAACGCTTCAGGAGTGTGGCCTGAACCAGGGATTACACTGGTAGGTGTTTGTCAGGGTCGGGGAGATTGCGTGGGAAAACGGGAGCAAATAACGGGTGGGCAGGACAAGAGCGGCATTCGCGGACGGGCAAGGCTGGAAGGGTGGTGGTGGGGGGGAAGAGCGATCGTCGTGTTTTCTCTGTTGGAAGCCAACGATGTTGGTGTCAGAGACGGTGCAGGGCTTGCGAAACTGCTTTTTTTCTCCCTGGGCAGACCCACTTTAAGCGAGGCGAGAACCCGGGAATTGCCACGGCCATCGGGGGTCAGTAAGGCTTCCAGAACGCCCTGCCTGCAGCCAGAAGAGCTTAGAGAAGGGGCTCCGGGAAATTCACGGGCAGGGCGGAGAAATGCGGGTATTCAATGCTTCTTTGTCTCCGCCCCCCCCCCCGCAAAATGAACTTAATTTAGGGAAGTTACCTTTGGCACTGTCTGGCTGGGGGACTGTGGGTATTGTAGTCCTGAAAAGAGTTCCCCTAAGCTTTGAGGGATATTTGCCTTTAAACATGGAAGTTCCTTCCTTCCTTCCTTAGAGGTTGAGGCGGATAGCCACGGGTCTTCAGGGCTCTCTGATGCGGGCCAGCCTCCAAGGCACGTTCCCCTCTAGGGTTTGGGGCATCAGTCACACAAATGTCTCCTGGGTGCCCACCGGTGTGTGAAGAGGCTGAAAAGAGAATCCGGGGACAGCCTTAGCGATCTAGACATTCTCTTCCTTCTATATAAACCAAGCATTAAAGAGTGGTCGACCAGACCAGATGGGCAAGATAGATAGATAGATAGATAGATAGATAGATAGATAGATAGATAGATAGATAGATAGATAGATAGATAGATAGATAGATAGATAGATAGATAGATAACATTTTGAAAGCCTCAGAAACAGGGCACTGTATCTCCTATCTAGGAATGTATGGGGTAGGGTGGGAAAAGTGTGGTTCCCCCTCCCCATGTTGTTGGACTGCAGCCCTCAGAGTGAGGAATGCTGGGAGTTGCAGTCCAGCACCCTCTGGATGAAGACACTTTGTCCATCCTCCTTGTAAGATTCTGGGAGCATATCTTTATGACCCCTACTCCGACTGCCGTGTTTGTAGTGCACAGCTGGAAGATCAGGCAGTATCCTTGGAAAAAAGCAGGCCTGAATCACCTGCACTCTAACATTCCTGTATGAACAAGCTGGGGGAAGCTATGCAGCATCAATTCCCAATTGTCATCCATTTATTCCTCATTCCTGGCATGGGTAGATAGTGTACTAAGTCCACACAGTACAGCTGAAGAACACAAAAGTCCTTCAGATGGTGGTGGTTGCTCTATATTGCCAAGTCATTTTTAAGTTGCTTTGACGCTATGCATTATCTCAAAAAATAAAAATCTGTCATTAACAGCCCTGCTCAGATCCTGAAAACCAAAGGCCCCCTTTCAGTTCATCTCCTCTTAGCTCTTCCTCTTTTCCAACAGTCTTTGACTAAACCGTTTCTCAGTATTTATGCCTTGAAAACCCTACAAAAAGACAGTCCTCCAAAAGATGTGGGATTTTAGTTCTTTGGCTTGATAAGTGATGAGGTACGATGGGAGTTGGAGTCCAACAATCTCTGAAGGGCCAAACGTTCCCTACTGGTGTTCTTTTTTTAAATATTTTTTTTATTTTTTTCAGAACAAAAAACAAATATTTCCAACAAGCTTTAGAATCATACAGTCTAAACTACCGTGCACCTCCTACCCATGGGACCCCTTAGGACAATACATTTAATACAAACTTCCTTTCCAAAATTGTATTGATTGTTGTTTAGAGGCTTTCCCCTTTCCTTTCACTAATACAAATTCAGCAAATCTACTCCAAATAGCATAAAATATTTGAACTTATTTCCCCTCTTTTCATCTTAGTTAATTTATCATTTAATGCAATGTCCCATACTTTATTATACCAATCTTCTAATTTAATGTCATTTTTGTCTTTGCAGAATCTAGCTATTAATATTCTAGCACTTGTCATAAAATTTGAAATCAATTCCTTCGAACAATAATCAAATTCTGTCTTATCAAAAATTGACAACAAAGCAATTTTAGAGTTAAATTCAATATCTTTTCCAAATATATCACATATTTCCTTAAAAATCAATTTCCAAAATTTCTGAATCAGTTTACACTCCTACCGCATAAGATAATACATGCCAATTTCTTCATCACATTTCCAACAAGCTTTAGAATAATCTGAAATTATATTCAATTTCACCAGAGTCATATACCTTAAAATGATTTTTAAAAAATCATTTATTCTTACCGACATTAACCTTAAAACTCTCATCCTCCAAATTTTTATCCAATCCTCTATTTTAATTTCTGTCTTTAAATCATTTTCCCAAATTAATTTCAAACCTTCTGTTTCTGTCTCTTTTTCCTCTTGTTCCGAAATTAGATTATATATTCTACTTACTACCCCCTTCATCAAAGCATCTTTCTGCATATCTTCATGTGATGGTATAAATTGTTCATAATTAGTGCATTCTCTACATTTGCCATTAGTTTTCAGCCATTCATTTGTCCAACTATCTAATTGTATATAATTATACCATGATTAGTTTGAAGTTTAACCATGATCCGATCCTTCAATCTCATTTTAATCATCCAGTCCTTCAATCTGGCAACTTTTTTGTCCTTAAACAGATCAACTAAACCCTTTAAGTTTGCTGGAAAATTTTCTATTTCAGTAATTAATTTTAATGGTGAAGTAAAGGGACATAACTTCTCTCTATATCTATTCCATATATTTAACAGATTTTTTAAAAATGGATTATTCACCTGATTTATTGTATTTCTTTTTACTACATTAAACAAATATTTTTCAACATTCCCATTTCTGAGGATTCCATATCCCACCAAATTAATTTTCCTTTGTTATATATTATATCGCCAACAAATCTTAACTGATTAGCTGTAAAATAATTTTTTATATTAGGAATACCTAAACCATCTTTTTGAGACTTATACTAATATAAGTTATTTATTCTAGATTTTTTTACCTTGATTACACAATCCATTAATTCCTGCCAATATTTAAAATCTTCTAATTGTATTGGGAGCATCCTAAATAAAAATGTAATTTTTGGTAATATTTTCATTTTGATCATAATGATTCTCCCAAACCACGATAGTTTCAGTTTAGACTACCCCTGCAATTTATCTTTAATATCACTTTTTAGTTTATTAAAATTTTGTTCCTTTAAGTTTTTGAGTCACTTAAACTATATTTATACCTAAATATTTAATATAATTACACATTATAAAACTATATTTATTTATAAACATTTCTTGTTCATGTTTAATGATTAAACATCATTATTTGTGTCTTTTGCCAATTAATAGTTAATCCTGTTATTTCCCCAAATTTTTCTAAATGATTTTTTAATATTCTCCATACTTTCTAATGAGTTTTTAATAGTCAATATTAAGTCATCAGCAAATAAATTAATCTTAATTGTGTTATTTCCCCCCAATCCTTTAATTAATTCATCATTTTTATTGCATTAGCTAACACTTCTATAACCATACAAAACAATATTGGTGAAAGTGGAGAACCTTGTCTTGTACCTCTGCCTAGAAAAACCAGCTCTGTTAAACCATCATTAACTATTACGTCTGATGTATTATCTTTTACCAAATCCCCAACCCTTTATAAGGAGTTTTAGTGTTGGCCATTCAACACAATCAAAGGCCTTAAATATATCTAATAATAAAACAGTTGCCTTTGTTTTTTCCTTTTCTATCTCATATATAATATTCAGAACTCGTCTAGTTAAATTATCAATTTGTCTTCCCCTTATAAAACCACATTGGTCCTCTTTAATATAATTTGCTATAAATCTGTTTAACCTGTTTGCAAATATAGCAGTAAAAATCTTGGCATCTTGGTTTATTAGAGATATAGGCCTGTACAATCCTGGATCTGTTAGATCCTTGTTGGGTTTTGGAATAAGAATAGTTAATGAATGTTTCCAAGGAGATGGCATTGTCTCTCCTTCCAATATTTTATTATAAAACATTTTTAATTTAGGCATTAAAATAGAACTAAAATGTTTATAATATTCTGGACCCAATCCATCAGGGCCTGGTGTTTTACCAGTTCTCAGTTTATTAATACCTTCTGCAATTTCTTCTTTAATCTCTTCTTCTAATATTTTTTAATAGCTTCCAAAAACTTAATTTTTAAATTCTCATTTATATAATTTTCTATATTCTCTTTCAATAGGTTATTTCCTTTATATAATATCTGATAAAATTCATGAAAAATCTTCAATTTATCTTTCATTATTTTATAGTTCTTACCTGTTCTATCTTTAATTACACCATTTGTGTTTTTAATCTTCTGTTTTTATACACTCTAGCTAATAATTTTGAATTTTTGTTGCTAAATTAAAAAATATGCCTCTTTATATACATCAAATCCCTCTGGACTTTCTGTTTCTAAGTTTTCTAGTTCCTTTCTCTTAGCCCTAATTTCTTCCAATATCCTTCTATCTCTTTCTAAAAAAACCTTACTTTCCAAATTTCTTCCATTTTTTTCACATCTTTCTCCTTAATTTTTTTTCAATGTATATAACTCCCTTATTGTTATTCCTCTTGAAATTGCTTTGTGTCCCATAACAGGCCTAATTTCGTACCACTTTCTTTATGTCCATAATTCTAACCATTCTTTCTTTATCTTTTCTATTACTTCTGGGTACTGGAAAATATTATTATCCATTCTCCGCCTTTTGGAATCTTTATAATCTTTTTAAATTTCAATCTCTATTGACATCAAAGTATGATCTGTTATTTTTATGGAGTTAATTTCAGTATTAACTATCTTAGAAATTAAATCTTGAGATGTGAATATAAAATCTATTCTAGAATAACTATTATGTACAGCTGAAAAATAAGTATATCTTCTTTCATCACCTCTCATTCCAAATATCCTTCAATTGATTACTTCCAGCCTTCTTGCTCAATTTTGTATTTCTTTGATGAATA